TAAAAAGTATGAAATACAAAAACGGAAAAAAAAATATTAAAAATAACATGGAGACGAAAAATTTTAAACTTTTGAAGTTTTTCAAATGAAAATTAGAAATTAATTGCTTATTTGGAAAAATATTTTCTCCTTTTCATCGTTTTTCTCTAGAATATCATTCCGATGTTTCTATTAAATTGTTTAGTGAATATGTTGTGTGCCAAAGGTACTAGGAGTGCAGTACCTTTGACACTACACAGATTTTAACATTTGTAAGTGAAATGCCTATATTTTTGAATAACTCGATGTTCATCATGTGCCGAAGAAAAATCCTCTATAGCAAATTTCAAATCTTTTTCATTTATAAATAAGCATTTCAACAAAAGAAGCAGCTAGTTAAGCTTATTATTTAATGAATTTGATTTAGAAAATTTTAAATTTCAAAATGGCCTTCATTATAATATAAAGAGAAATTAGAGTTTTCTTAATATAAATGCAATTAAATCCCTACTTTTTTTGTTTTTAGCTGGTAGAAATACTAGAACTTTTAATATGCAAATTATGTATAATAAGAGAAAGAGAGCACATATTCGTATGTCTTACATGAATTTTAAATTTAAATACATTTTTCTCGAATATTCATCATTCGCGGTCTATTCGACTTTATTTTGGAGTCCACGAAAATTTATTGCAAATTTTTATTCTTCAAATAACTCTTACACATACACATAAATAGAAGACCATGAAATTAGTTCAGAATTTTACGATATAAATGTAAACGTATATATGAGAGCGTATGCTTACTAGACTTTTAAATCACATTAATGACAAAAAGTGATTGATGATAAAAAATAAAAAAAGAGAAAAAAAAACGAAAATAATAAATAAAATTAAAATTTCCTTTTTATTTTCATCGTGTCCTCTTTTTCTTAACTTTGTTCTCTTTCTCTTTATGCGATTACGATTAAAATATTTTGTGTGTTCTTTTGGTCATGTGGAAAATTTATTTATTTTTTTTATTTTTATTATTTTTACTTTCCTTGCGTTTCCATAAGAATTATTTTAAATTATCTATCATTTGCTTTCTCATCCCGACTGCAACGTTACATTTTTATTTTTTCTGTTTTATTTTCTGAATAATAATATTCTTTTTTTCTCAATTCTATTTTAAACTTTTTAAATTTTTTTTGATAAGCAGAAATCGCTTTTAATTTTATTGAAGTGTCCTTTATAATAAATACGCGTAAAAGAGATGAAAATTTTCAACACACCCCCGATAAATAGCTTTAACTTTATAAATCGAGAAGATAAAACAAAAATAAATGTAGGGGGAAGAAGGACAAATAAACTGGAAGGGTAGTTATGTTTTACATATTATTGGAAAATTATGTGTGTATGGCTGTGGTTATGAAAAAGCACAAAAACAAATGCTTAAAAATTTGAACTGGTGTGCATGAAAATTTAAATTGAACTTAAGTTTAAACGAATTTTCATGTTTCTCACTCACTCACTCATTTTTCAAAATTTTTATTTTCTTTTTTTTTTTACTAATTTCCTTAATTTATAAACCCAAAAATTATGTAGCAGTAAATTATAAAAATTTTTTTTTCTTCTAAATTTTCTTCCTTCAAAGTTATGTTTTCTGACAACTTGTCATTTTCTCTCTTTTCTTTCTATGGTATATGAATAAATAATGTTTTTTCAACACCATTTAAGCGTTGACAAAAGCGAAAAGAGAGGAGAAGAGAGAGGCGTAGTAGAAGAAAAAACTTTAAATAAATATGAAAGTTATGCAATATATATGGAAGACTTATGTTTATTATTTTTTTTATTGTCATTATAATAATTGAAGAATGTATTTTTTTGTACAACGACAAGTCTATCAAAATATATGACTGACTGATTAACATAAAAGTGACTTATCATACACTTAAAGGTACCTACATAGATATAATTATGTATGCATTGATAATCATGTGTAGAGAAATGACTTTTTGTATGCTAGTAAAGAATAAAGTGAATTGATGTGGAAAAGTAAGGAAAAAATCTTAAGTGTGCGTAAAATTTTGAATATTTTAAAGTAAAAATATGAAATTTCAATGAGTAGAATTGGAAATGATGCGTCATTTTTCGAACAAAATGTGTTTCACTCTACTCATTCTTCCATTAGTGTGACTGTTTATAAGACTTCTACCGTTTTAATATAGAATTTTAAAATTTTATACACAAACGGATGTTGTTCAGAAACATTTTTCTAAAAAGAAGAAATTTTTACAAAATGAAAAAAAATACCAGATTTTGACAATTTATTGTGTTAGAGCACAAAATTTTTTTGGAAAAAAACAAAAAGTATTTTCATTTATACAAAGGAAATGTGCTATTTTGAAATCCATAGTGATTTGATCCGAATTTTTCTCATTTATTGAATTAATTGATTAATTTTCGTTAAAGACGCGTATATGAGTTTGAATAGAAGTTTTTATGCGTAAAATTGTTATTTGAAAGATTGTCAAAAACTCAAGTCTATTAATTTTTTAAAGTTTTGCTGTCATTTCTTTTGCTTTCATATTGTTTTCTCATATATGCGCATTGGAGGGTATATTCAATTTGTTAAAATGCGTGATCGTGATTTGTCAAATAAAAATATATAATATATACCCAGTTACGTTCGTGTACTGTCGAAACGCTTTTAGAACCGAGAACGCCAGCCATTACCTAGATACTCAAAACTTATCACATGTTTATTTTAAATATCAACATATTAATATTTTAATTTAAAAAAAAAATTATATCTTACCGAAACGGCAATTTCACAATAGAATTTTTCAAATGGCCCCACTTAAAACTTTACTTAAAATATAATCATTCATTAGAATGTGCTTTATATATATGTATTTGGATTGAGATATGCAACTAGATTGACACATGAATAATTTTTATTTATTTAATAGTTTTGCACTAATACCGACATTTTTTGCATACTTATTGACTAATATTTTTGTAATAGTTAAAGCCTTGAAAATTTTTCAATAAAAATAATTAAAATATTTTTTAATTGACTATTAAAATTCTACAAAATAACAAATAAATTTTATAATTCATTCCTAAAAACAAAAATTTTCACAATACTCATACCATATTAAAAAAAAATATTTTGAAATTGTTACAACAACACAAGGGTTAATATTTTAATCATATTATTAAATATTATTTGAAATTTACAAATTCACATAAAAAATTAACATAAATTTATTTAATTTAATAATAAAATATATATATATACATAAATACCCCCTCTACAATAAGGTTTAACAATTTATTTAACAAATAACATTGCATAAATATTTTCTTTAACAATGTTTAAAAAAGTTTTTAAAGTACACAAAAAGTTGTGTCAATTTTAATTCTCTTGTTATTATTTTTATTCTTTTTTGATATAAATAATTTTTTATTACTTAAAAAAGGGTTTCGAGAACAACAACAACACAAAAAAATATTATTCATACGTAAAGATAAATGGATTAATTGTGGGTGGTGGTATTTTTGTTTTTTATCTTGTGTAACGCTATTAAAATATTCACTATTATTTAAATTTTAAATAATTTTATTATTTTAACAAAATGGAAAAAATGGAAGAAAACTATAAAATTGGAGAAAAACAAAAATTAAATTTTTCATTTCAAGTTTTTATGTAAGGATTAATCACATTTTATTATTTCAAATTTTGTAATTGAATTTTGTAGAGTTTACAAATAAACAAGGAAATGAAAGAGTGTTATTTATTTCATTATTTGATTTTAAATAAAATTAAAATATTTTTTTAAATATATTAAATTTTTTTTTTATAATTTTAATAAAATTATAAAAAATTTGATTTTTTTAAAATTCATTAAGTACCATTAAATTTTAGAGCCATTGTTATCAAAATTTTCAGCCGCAAATGTAATAAACTTAAATTTTAATGGAAGATATTATAAAAGCAAGACTTTCGATGATATGACTTAAAATATATAACTTATACCATTGTCTATGTACAGAAGACAATTTTTCTAATTACACAATAGAGCGCTGTATTTAGTGGCGCTGTAAAATTAATTTAAAAAAAAATTATTGCATACATTTAGGAGAAGAACAAACAAGAACAGACTGTAAAATAATTATGGAATTAGTTTCAATTTTTCTCTGAGAGAAAAACAAGAAAAGCTACTTCTTGAATGGCAAACGATGTAAAAAAGATGATGTTTAAGAAAAAAATAATAATTAAAATTTAAGAAAACTTGATTAAAATTACGTTAATTCTGAATATACAAAGCACAGTTAGTTGATTACAGAAAACACCATTTTCAGCAATTTCAATTTTCAGAGCAAGATAGAAGTAGGAAAGCATATTTTGTGTATAAAATTGCAATTGCTGCCCTCTTGAAGAGTCTAGACAGTGCTAAAGAAATAATCTCATTTGTCCCAATATTGTTAAAAACGTTCTAAGAAGCCTAAGTAACACAATTAGATTTAGTGAGATTTTTTATTTAAATTTTGCCACCTCAAACGATTGTTCAACTAATAAGCAGCTGTTTTGTATTCCCGCCTAAATACCAAAAAAAATTTATATTAATATTTTTTAATTTTTTCAAACATTTCCCAAAACGTTAAGTTCATTATTACAATGGGAATTCACTCATATAAATATGAATATAATTTTTATAGTAAAATTCATACATTTAAATTGAATCACGAAACGAAGGACGAGAGAAAATTAAAAAAAAAATTTCATATAGCATTTAAAAAAAAAAAATACCAACACAATAATAACACCTGAATAATGTAATACAATTATCCTTTCTCTTTAATTACACTATAAAAGCAAAATGAAAATTGAATTACATTTTTCCTTGAATGTTATTTACATTTAAGTAACAAAACTGTATACCGTTACTGGTATTTGCTTTTCTTTTCCGTTTTCCTTTTTATATTTCATTTTTTTTTTTTTGTTATTTAAAATTTAATTTTTCATAATAAAATACCTGGAACTAATATAAGAGCTTCCGTCCAATCAAGTTTTTTAACGATACTTTTAACAGCAAAGGATATTGCTTCATACGATGGTAAAAAATTCGAGCCACCAGAAGTCTATAATGAAAAAAAGCAATAAAAAAGAAAGAAAAAATGTTAATATAAATATTTTGAATAAATATAATATAAAAAAAAATTGCAAATATATTTAAGTAGGTCCAATAAAATTATAGTTTTAATATTCTTATTAATATTCACAGGAATGCGAGTGTGTTTGTGTATATTCATTGTAAGTATTTTCAAGCAAATTAATATATAAACGTTATAATTATCATGATATTTTAAATATTAAAAAAAAATTCACAAAAACTCTTAAGGACTAAACCGTTTTAAGTGTCACTAATAAACTTAATATAATTTTATATAGGCGTTTGACCGCATTACTAATTTTAAAAGTATGAGTGTAAATTAATTTAAAGAATTTTGATTTTGTAATTTTATTAGTGTGTATGAATGTATTGGGTGGTTCCATTCCAAGAATTTCCATTTAATTTTTTTTTATATAAAAGTAAATTTGAACGTGTTCATGTTCATTATATGCTCGTTTATAGATTCCCATATATCGTATATGAGAAACGACTTTACTTCTGCCATATACGAAGCATTATTTTTTGAAGCAGTCTGAAACAATAGATTTGATTAAGCTGCAATAGGGTAACAATGCATGTATCCCCCTTCTGACAAATCCGAGTGTCTTGTAGGATTCTTGCTACGTGGGCTCAACATTCATCAAATAGGTGCATCGAAGTCTGCACCTACTTGATGATTGAAATGTCCATTTCTGCACAGAACCTGAAAGTGCCGTCGCCTTCCAAGTATCCTCATTCTCACTAGATTCTAACCTATTCGTATTATTTTTCTATACCGCTTTTGGTCATAATTGCCCAGAAGCCAAGGGGCTTGCCTCTGCAAATGACAGTGCGTCCATAATTTCAATCTCACCCCTTGTACCTCCTTCCTTTATTCTCCCGGACTCCCTGCGACCCAACTCTGCAAAATGACTGCGTTCCCATAAATAATGTATTGCCTTCCTCCTCGCTAAAACGAGAACATGTTCATCATCCTGTTCATCAACGTGCACCTTGTGCAATGCATGTAACTCGATTCCGCTAGTCTAACTCATTAAACCGGTCAAAATAACCGCGCACTACCAAGCCCGGACTCAATACTCTAGTCACTGGAGTAGCAGCGCGACTGTCCGACATGATCGTTAACGCTTGTCTCCGATAATCCTTCGGTTAACAGTAATATCAGTATGTCTTGTGACATTATAATATTTGAGTCTTTCTCTCCGAATACAATTTTAGATTTCAGCTTTATAAAGTCTTAAGGCGCGGGAAGATCTTTCTGAAGAAATTCTCAATTTGTTTACTTTAGCTAAAAACCTTTATCTTAAGGTCTTCAAAATTGTCGTTTAGTCGAAAATGCTTTCATTTTGCAATAAAAATCTCATAATTTTTATATTATACCATTTATCATAGCATGGGTGGGTATGCATAAGGAATGCTATACGTAGTCTTGCTCTGACATATAAATTTTTTCTTAATAGATCGAAAATAAATTAACTTTCATTCTTCTTGCATTTGCTTTGGAAGCAACAACTTTATTAAAAAATTCCCTTTAAACGACATTTATTGTTCATTAAAAACTTAATATCCTTTGAAGGAGGGTATAATAAGGAAAAAATTTAAAAATTCTTTTTTTTTTTCAAATTTTATAATTGCATTCTTTAGATTGTGCACTCAACTATGTTAAATAATTATGTTGCATAATATTGGAAATATGAAGTTTTCGGAATTCTTTATCAAAGACCGTTATAAAAATTAATAAGATCAGTGAATTTCTTTGAAAATAGAATTTTCATAGCTATATTTTTCAATTATATCAAGTCAAGTAGAATACTCGTATTGTAGAATCCAGTTTGTTGGCAGTTGTAAAAAAAAAAACGAAAATGCATCGTTTGTGTTATTAATAAAAATGTAAATTACTCTCGGGTTACAAAAATATTTTCTGAAAAAGATTTGTTTAAAATTGAAATTTTTTTTCATATTGATGTGAATTCAATGGGAGGAAAAACAATTACTTTTATCCCTAAGAGAAAATTTTATAAGTAAATTATTTTTCTTTTGAAAAAATTACAAATTTTATATACCCACATTAAATTAACTCTTTGTCTTCAAACTTTTAAGTGAAAGTGAAAGTTTTTACTGGGAAATGCATAATATCTTTTGATCCAAATAAATTGAATTCATTGAAATTAATATAAATAAAAATTATCTTGAAATATATTTCAAATTTATTTGTAAAAAATAAAATACAAATCCAAGGTTTTCTTCTTATTATCCTTTTCAAATATTTTGTATGCGTGCATGACTTAATAGTGGGTGATATTAAGATTAAAATTTCCACCGATCCAACACGATCATTATAAAAACATTTTATCAAACAGGTAATGTCCTTTGGTAATTGAAAAAATGTAAATTTTAACAATATTTTTAAGAACTATGCAGTTGAATAACAAAAGCAAAAATCAAAAAAATTAGTTCCTCCATCCAGTCGTAGTAGGAATCAGACAGGGATATCCATTTTTCCTGTTGCTGTTCTTATATTGTTTTAGACAAATGTATGAGGGAAGTAGCATCACTACGCACATAAATTATAAAGCCTGGAATATGCCGATGATGTCGTTCTACTCACTCACTCACTCTGGTTCAACTCATGATGCAACTCATTATAAATAACTTAGCAGAGCTAATGGATATAATAGATCTTAATGCTAATGGATATAATAGATAGATCTTATAGCTAATATAATAGATCTTATAGCTAATGGATATAATAGATCTTAAAATAAATATCGCCAAGAGCAAGCTGATGAAAATTAACAGCATGAAGCAAGTTCCAGTTTTGAGAACGGAAAGCAGACGTTGGAGCTTATGGCCTCAACGCACCACCCGAGGTCTTTCCACTAAGTCCTCGATATCGCCCTTATCTAAGAGCCTTACATATAATGAAGGATCAGGTTAAGAGCCTAACAGGTGAGCTATTGTATGATACTACGATTGAAGGCAGGCCTACGGTTTGCATTTTGTTTAGTAAAACAGTAACATATCTTCCCATTCCAGATTACTGCTCCAAGAATCAGATAGCTGCGTTGGTGAAGGTGAAGTCTTCCGGGTGTTAGACAGAGTTTATTGTATGCTCATCCCACCTCACGGGAGACTGCGCCCAGACGAGTAACTGAAAGACCTAGTGGACTTTTGTGGAAGGAGGAACTTCCAACTAATAATAGGAAGTGATGCCAATGCCAACCACACCGTCTGGGGAAGCAGTGATATAAATAAAGGGAGGTGAGTGCCTACTTGAAATTATATACAGCAATAAATTGACGATTATGAATGACGGCAATATGCCGTGGTGGAATGATGGGCTTTCAAGGCTTAGACTAAGGACCAGAAAGCTATTCAATAAGGCCAAGGTGCCGGGCTCGTTGGAGGAGTATAAAGACTCACTCACGAAATACAATAAAGAAATTAGGAAAGCGAAGAGAAGTTCGTGGAGGGCGTTCTGCAAGGCCATTGATGAACTCCCCAGCAGTGCGCGTCCCCACAGGGTGCATTCCAAAAAGTATGCTAGCGGTTTGGACCTAACGGAACGGTTTGGCCTCAACACACTTTCCTGACTCGGATATTCGTCAGAATCGCGCAAAAGCGGTCGTTGAACCGAGTGCAACCTGGCCCAGGAGTGATAACTGGCAACGATCCCGCTTGGTCTTCACGATGGACAGAATTAGATGGACTGTTTTCTCCTTCAGACCCTTAAAATTTCCGGGTGATAACGGGATATATCCTGCGTTTTTGCAGAGTGGTTTTCAACATATCGCCAGAGCTCTGTTAGAAATTTTTCGTGCCAGCTATGCGTGGGGTTACAGCCCTCAGACAATAAGGGTGGTTAAAGTGACGTATATTCCGAAGGCTGGTAAGCGACTAAGAAACCACCCAAGCTCTTTCCGTCCCATCAGCCTTACTTCTTTTCTATTGAAAGCAATGGAAAAGTGATTGATAGATTCATACGGGACGACGCACTGGGAAGCAAGCCCTTGCGTGAGTCTCAATGAGCCTATCAGCCGGGAAGGTCTACTGTACTCGCTTTGCAGAGTCTAGTGGAGGTTCTTGAAAACTCACTGGAAGTGCAGATGGTGGCAGTTGGCTGCTTTCTTGATATAGAGTGAGCTTTTGACAACATTCCATATCATGCCATCTGTGAGTCGTTGCACAAACCAGGGATTGATGCAACGACAAGCAGATGGGTTAATCGGATGCTGCAGGATAGGATTATTAAGTCCACCATAGCTAACGGTACACTCTTCATCTCCGCTGCAAAAGGGTGTCAGCATGGCAGGGTACTTTCGCCCCTTCTATCGTCCATTGTAGTGGATGGTCTAACCGCTGCTCTCGGGGGCTTCGTGTCACGTGTCTGGGGTTACGCCGACGATGTGGCCTTTGTCATACGGGACAAATTTGAGAGCACTTTTTTTGATCTTCTACAGCCAAATTTACGTGTTGAGTTAAATATAAATCCCGAGGGCGAGGGCGTTGGGTTAAATATAAATCCCAACAAGAGCACTTTGGTTGCCTTCACCAGACGCAGAAGCAGAGATAAATTAACGAGCCCAATTAAGTTTGGTGAACATATTAGTTACTCTAGTGAGGTGAGGTATCTGGGGTAACCTAGAATGATCGCCTCTTCTGGAATACCCATATAGATAGAGTTATCGGGAGGCCTACGGCGGCATAGTGGACGTGTAAGAGCTTCATCGATGGGACCTGGAGATCAGTCCCAGGATAGCACTGTGGCTATATATGGCCCTTGCTAGGCCATAGACCTTCGTATCGATTGTATGGTGCCGTAAGGCTCAGCAAGCGGCTGTGCGGGCCAAGCTGGAAAAACTGCAAAGGTTGGCCTGCTTGGGAGTGACCGGGGCAATGCGGACGACTCCTATCGTTTATTGGAGATCATTATCTATTGGATTACAACTAGAAGCGGTCCCTGGTTCG